TGGCGTAATTGTCTGCTGACCAATCAGTGGCTGTACTTTCAAAAAGTCAACGGCCACTTTCAACCATCTGTCGATGACCATTACGACTAAAAAAAACTTCGCTAGGTCTTACTTTCAGAGGGAGGTCTTATATTTCGCAATTCAGCAAAATCTGTGCTAGGTCTTATTTTCTGCGGATGTCTTATTTTCGGGGAAACACGGTAGTAACTGTTTATAGTATATTTTTTAAAGTATAGGTATACTTTCTAAAATTATATATTCTATTGATGAGTCATGTGTAGCTTTATTCGTTTTCCTTTGGTAAAAGTGAATACACTGTTCTAAAATAAATAATTACTTCAACTGAAAATTGAACTAATAATTGAGTTTCACAGTGCTTCCGTGCAATATTGCATATGCTTGTAATCAGTAAGAAAATTTTTAACTTAAATGGCATGGTAAAATAAAAAGAGATGATCGTAAGTAGAAAAAACTTACACGAAGTTTGAAACTTGTGTTTTATTTATTTCAATTCATATAATTGGGTAATCTGAGATGGTGCCCATATAAGGTTTTTTATTATCTACCAGATAAGCCTTAAGTTCATTAAATATTTTATACGCAGAAGTGCGCGTGTCAGAGATGTAATCAGTGCTATCCATGCTAACATAGTATAATTACATCAACCAGAAAGAGTAGTGATAAATGTAGAATAGGAAAAGTTTGTCCAAATGCCTACAAAACTCTGCAGTAGCAAACAAGATTTTAGCTAAAGCAGAGGGAAAAAACTGGTTGGTGGTAGCAACAGAGGTAAACTCTCAAGGCTCAGAAAGTCTTCAATGCGAGTTCCGGTAAGGTTAGGAAGTATCCACGCAGGGGTAATCCAGTAAAAGAAAAGCGTGTAGTGTTGGAAAACAATTAAACACAAAGAAGACACTTCAGAACCAAAACACAACAAGCAGAATGTCCACACAGGAAGAAACACCACAATAATCCGATACAGCTGAAACATAACCATTCGAAAACACATACTAGTACTTACATTAACAAGACTGTGTTGTTTACAAAGCTGGAACATTTTACGACAAAGATAAAAAGTAGCGTTTTGTTTGTATTCTGTTATATACGTACAGTACAGTAGTATAATCGCTTCTCGGCTTATGGCTGAGATCGAATGTGTGTATCTGGTTCCCGCTTAAATATACTAAAAATACAGAACAAAAAAATAAAAGAACTAACACTTATCTTACAATTTTCAGACTTTACACAAATACAAATACAGCAAATCCATTAGACTGTGTCAAGCCAAGTGCCATGTTAGAGTTTTCATTTAACAATGTGATGTGATTTTACTCCCACATCTGTTTAGCGTCAGTTTCAGGGTTATGTATGAAAAATTAATTTTCTCAAGCTAGTCCGTTTACAAACTTGTCAACGCACTCGTTATTACCAAGTATAAATTGATATTTAAAAGTTCGTGTAAATTAATTATTTAAATTGTTCTCAGATGATCAGCGCAGTCTATCCTTGCTTGTAAGCACTCACACAATTGTTGGATACTCGCAACCAATGCAAAGTGACGAATAAGATTGAAACTTATGTAAATAATACGAGTAATTAATGCCGGTTTATTGTGACTTCTATAGATACGAACGCAAAGTCCAGCAGATAGCATTAAAAATACCTAGAGAATTCTTTTAAAAACTCTCGAAAAACGTAGATAAAACCAAACGCTTTATACATGTTTGAATCCTGTACAATTCTTCAATCAAAGTACGCTTGAAAATTTAGAAAAAGAATTCGTTAATATTCTAAAAAGTTTTAACACGTAGAAAATCATAGAAATTCAACGAATTCGATTAAAAAATCGATCCGAGCGGAACTCGAACTCGCAGATTCCGCTTTTGTTTTTCTTCCAGAATACAGTTGACCCCCTATAACACTGTTGATAATTCCGTGTTATATGAATTCCATGTTGTAGGAATCACTTAGATTTTACAAATACATACGTGAGCTTGGCTGCGAAGGCTGAGGTATTTGTAAAATGTAAGTGACTCGTACAACATGGAATCCATATAACATGAAATTATCAACAGTGTTAAAGGGGGGTCAACTGTAGTTTTAATTTATTGTTTACAAAATTTATTTAAAAATTTATTGTTTACAAAAGTTTTCTTACAAATACAGTTTGAATTCTCACATGAAACGCCTTAGCAAAAAGATTCTTAATTAACATAAACATAAAAGTTCGAAATTTGGAAAAAATGATATAATACCCAGCCTTGATGTGAATTCATTTCCTACGACTTTCAGTTTTTCTATCTGACAATATAACAAATTAAAAACTTATAGTGAAAAAAGAAACCCACATTTACTCCAATGGAACTCGATACAACAACCACGTCAATATGAAACTACAGCACCACGATTACACCATTGGCCACATTGACAACAACGTAAACTATAAAGGTGTTAACTGATTGCGAAGTGACTTCGACATCATGCTGTTACTCGTAAGCACGTAATGGTCCACTTCGTTATATGCTAATTTTTTAGATACGTATATACGTGAGATCACAATAAATACACGTATAAAGCCAGTTTTAATGTTGGTTATACAGAATATACAAGTAATGCAATTAAAAAATTACGTGTTTTTCCGGAGAGGCGGTGACGTCAAAGTCATGTGGCATCTGCAGCCAATTACCGCGATGATTTCTTTCTACTTCTAAGGGCGTGTTGCCTCCGTTTTTCGTCGTCATACTCGAGAGTTCAGGCGAAAACGAGCCGAAGAAATGGCGGTCCCAGAGGTGCAGAGTCAGTATGTAGTTGTATTTCCTGTTTATAGCGTTTCTATATGTGTGGGCGCAAAACCATTTTACGTGTTTTGCTATTGGCTATCGTATGTTTCTTTATAAAAAAATTTGAGAAAGAAAGCGATGATGTACTGCTATCGAAAGCTTAAAATATAACGTGATAAATGATATAAGTTAATTTTCTGTCTGTTACTTGTACTTATTTCATCACATATGTTCACGTCAAATGAACATACTCTTACTGAATTTTTATACATAAATTTTCTAGAATATTTAATTAAACTAATAGTATTTAATCAACAAAATTTTCAATTATCTTACTGGAGATAATAACTAAGCAAAACTTCACAAAAAGCTTATTCCCTTATGTAAATAACCGTCTGTTTATAATGTTCGAACTTGAGAAATAGAATCTTCCACTTCTAGGGTTCAAAGGGTTTAAGTAGATTAAAATTTTCATTCTCTTGGTGAAATAATTTTCGGTCTTTAAAGTTTGAGTTAATAAGCTTTCTTTAATTTTCAATATACAAATGCTTAATACTCATTTTTTGTACAAGATTTAGTTCGGGTAGTTCAGTGTTTCTTGACATGTAAATCGCAAATCCCTCAATTCCATCAACATGTAAAAGTGGTATTTATTTGTTTAAGGCAGTTGAATGAATGGAAGGAAATGAATTACATTTTGTAAACAGATTTGATTAAAATTAATTTGATGCCAATATTTTGAATAATATATTTTATTGATAATTATTTATATTAAGATCGTTAAGCGTTTTCTCTTAACTCTATTTTAAATCAGCATATTTAGTACACATTTTAAACACAATAAAAATAAAATGTTTCATTTAAAACAATAGATCTAATACATGTTAAAGCCGCACTTCGTAAATGTTATTTGTTTAATTATTACAAGTTTCACATGAAAGTACAAAATAACATTACAGAGAAATTTACTAATTCGACCGGTTTATTATTTATCGGTCTGCAAAGCAGAAGAAATCCTGTTCAGAATAAATATATAGGTACGACAGTGTTAAACTCCTTTCTTTTGTAAGCGACAAGGAACCATATGATGCCTCCAGGCATTGGGTAGCCACAAGCAATGCGAGTACGCGCTAGGCGGGCCTTTAACTAATAACTTATCAGTTATAGCAGTGTTTCTCATTTTCTAATGTATCATTGTCCCCTTCAACTTAGTATCGCCCCCTTCAATAAAACCCTTACGTAGTATCGCCCCTTTTATTTCAAAATTCCGATGCCGAGGGCCAAGTCTAACGCCAAATTCGTACTGCACCGAGTAGTGTAATGTTATAGTCACTAGTACGTTATTTGTTTAATTATTGTACGATATAACGAGTAAAATATTTAATTATTCTTAATATAATGTTTTACTATATCGCCCAGAAAATTGTTTCTCTCCCTTTCAAATATATATTGTTACTAATCGCCCCCTCAACATGGAAAAACGCCCACATGGGAACGATATCGCTTCCGTTGAGAAACACTGAGTTAAAGGCTTTTTTTTTTCCAGTTTTGTAATGTAAACTTGTAATTGTGCTTTGTGTGAATGTCAGATCCACACGAAGAGAAAATTTAATTTTTAATTACAAAGCATCGATGTCCGTTTATTTATAACAGCGTTTCTCAAAGTTGTCAATAACGCCCCGTTGTGGGCGATGAGTAGATCTAGTGGGCGCTGGAAGCAGAGTATTGAACGGTGACCAAAGGTAAAAATGAGGCTGATAAGAGGAAACATTGCGTTTAATGGTTTCCCGATGTTAAGAACAATGTACGGTAAGGGCACAAAGTGTGAAATTCATAGAAAAGTTTCCCTAAGAATATTTCCAATCCTTTTTCACGCAAGTGAAAATGGGTTAGGGGACGTTGGGTATAACTTTATGGAACAAAAAGGGCGTGGATCAAAAAAGTTAGGGAATCACTGATTTAGAACATACGAAATAAGTGTTGATTCAAAAAAGACCTAAAGATTTTATTATCTGTTACTGCATATAACATGTAATTGTTAATTCTTTGTAAAATTAGACTTTCGTAATTTATTTCAGAGTCTACAAAAAATCTCCAGCTTCCCTCTCTTAACGAACTTGTTTAATTACTTTTTAAAATGGATGATGATTCATTAAAATTATATTAGCATAATGATTTTTTACTTTGAAGCTTTAGGCTTGTATAACAAAATAATGGAAAACTCCAAGATATAGCAGTTTGGGACTAGCATTATTAGTTATAAGAGTATAGCATACAATGACCTATACACATAGAGATTCAGGATACGATAGGTTACAGAAAAATCAATTATTGTTCGTAGACAATTACAAAACAATTCCATACGAATCATGGATTATTTACATTTTCTATAATGAAAACTGTACAAGTTTTTGTTTTTTTAATTTTTTAAAATTCTAGTCAGGGAAGTGATAGAATACGTATCGAAGATACATTTATTCAACAAAGGACCGTCGATAATCCGTCAAAAACTATACACATATACAAAAATCTTTACACTAACAAAAAGTCACTTTGATATTATTATTAATATCTATTGATAATCAAATAATAACTATGATCTATCATACAAAGTGTCTCCTTTAATATATGAAGGAATATCTTTATTCTATTAACTTGATTTTATTTCGGACTACGCTCCTACTCAGTCTACTGAAAGGCATATTTCGAAATAATTTTTTGCTGATAGAATAGAGATGCCTTTTCTTTTAAAAAATGCAGCGTTTCCTGGTACGATAGCTCCTAGAAAATAAAACTTGATTATCGCGGAACCATCAAAACCCAAAATGATAAGCTAATACAAAAACTTTAATATCTATTTTTAAAATATTAGTAATGCATTTGTTTATACACCATTGTCGGAAATATTACAACTAACGTATAGTACAACAGACATGTTTGTTTCAAAGTAATAATAAATACCTTTCTATTGTTTTAGGGTTTCTTCGAGTGAGATACTAATCCAAAATAAAGAAAACGAAGAAATTATTATAACAGAAGCTGAGTTGAATAAAGTCTTGAACAGGCAATTGGAGCATCACATTATATATTTTGAAAATTCGAAAGTACTGTTTATGCTTTATCCAATCGAGACCATCAAACAATTCGTTACGTAAGTTTTTACGAAACTTATTTTTCATTTAATTTCAATACATTGTCATAAATTATAATTTATATTTTTTCAAACAGCTATGTACGGACGGACGATCCCGGATTGTCCTTTATTATACACGCTTTCGATCTGTATCACCTGAGTTTAAGATACGGGTTAAAGAATTTAAGAAAGAAATGCAGATCATTTATCATTCGGCAAATAAATTTGCGTACCGTCTGTGCAATTCACGATTTTGCACTTAAGATCGGTGATATGCTTATAACTTATTATTGCTGGCAAGCTTTCGACGAACACGAAGAAAGCCTATTTACAACAGACGACTTTATGTGCTGTAAAATTGCAACAATTGATAGACTGCTATCTCGAGCGATATATAAATCTGTCAGTGAATTGCGTTTACTCGAAGCCGTGTATTATTGGAGCATAGAAGTTCAAAGAAAATTGGGTGCATTCAACTTTCATTCGATGAATGAAGAATCGAAAAGGAATGCAATAAGAAATGTTATGAAGCCATTTATTGGAAAAGTCAGATTGCTTGCCATGGATGAAGACGAATTGCTATCTTGTGTTTTTACAATGAACTTGTTAAGCGAAGTAGAAAGGAGTCATATCTGGCATACTTTTAAGTATAATTATTATTCCTTGTATCCCAGTTACTTCAGTCGAGAAACAAAAACAAGAAGCAAAATAAATTATTGTAATTTGTTCTCGTACATAAATCGTGGAGTTCCTTTTATGGTCGCAAACAGAGAGATGAAAGATTACATATATTTTAGCAGCGAAGTAGTTGTGACAGAAATTGTTACGTCACGACTCTTCGATTTTCAATGAAGCTTGGCGAACGTTTTCCAATGTACGTATGCGGGTATATTAACGATTTGGACTACGGACAGTTTTCGTTTGACACCGTTTGCAATAAAGACGGAGTAGCATATCTGCAAACGTTTTTGTATCTAGAAAAATATTGGTCAATTCGTTTCTTTGCTTTCTTTTACTCCGCTGAAAATGTCCAACCCGATATCGAGTTTTCTCGTCAACTGAGTTACTTTGTGAGCGACGAAGGAACAGTTGACAGGAAATTTGAAGACAAATTTTTAACCTGTGACAGAAACCTTATGAATAATATTTATTTTTCGGTTAATTTACATTTTTGAAGTCAAAAGTTTCCTTAGAGGAAGGCGAAATCTAAACGAGAATATAATGTAAAGTTAAATTCGAATGTGATTATTTCTTACTCTATCACCATAAAATTTCTGCAAAATGTGTGAACGGGATAATGAATTTATTGGATTTACATAAAACATAATTTAAATATAAAGTGTTTATTAATGTAAATTTTTTTTGAATTGTAAATTGTCATTATTCGAGTTGTTATAATTTAAAATTTAGTTTTTACAAATATATCATTATCAAGAAATTTTATAAATACTGTATCATCATTTTAATGCTAATTACGTGCGTGATTTTCTATTTTTTTTATTGAAGTAGATGTTCGAGAAAGAAATATAATTACAATCTTACTGCATTAATCTTTTCTTTCTTCATTTTAATGACGATAGAAGTATGGATCGTTAAAACTAGAATTTTTGTCTAAATGTACGAGCTATTCGATATCCACGTTTCAATTTTATTATTTACAGTATTGTTTTTTGTATTCGTTGTATAGAATGTGATGTTTTACCATTCTCATCTAGGACACTTTGCGTAAAAATAATTGGCTTGAAATTTGATTTTTTAAAGTGAATGTGTTTGGAAATCTTACCTAGTTACTGACATGCGTTTAAAACGAGTTGACGGTAGAATTTTTACAGAAGCAGTTTGCATATTCAAAAGAAGCTTTATAAGGTATATCTATAATACTACAGTACCTCATCTCTTTAATACTACGGGATTACACTAAGGTAGTTTTGATAACGGTACTGTACTTATTTTTAATACTAAACATTGGGACATTAAAGACCATTCAGAAATTTTCGACGAATTTTTTTAAACATATACAATTTCTAGAAATATAAAAATATTTATCTAAGTATATAAAATTGCTTGTCCTGACTGACTGAATGACTCACTCACTCACTCACTGATTCATCATCGCCCAGAGCAAACCGCTTAACCTAAAGAGGTGAAATTTGGTAGACAGTTAGGGTACATTATGGAAATGCACACTAACCCCCGTATTCACCAACGCGAGTTAGAGTTAGGGTTAACTCTCGAGTTATTGGTAAATTGGTATTCACCAACTCCGAATCTCGAGTCAAACACAATAACCCTAACTCTAACTCTAACTCTAGAAAATCGGCGAGTAGACGATAACTCTAGGTTTGACGCCTGCGCAAAGCGATCTATTTCAGGGAAAAATGGCGACATTCGATGAGGACGAAGCCGATATGCTAGAAAATCTGAATTATCTAGATTATATAAATCGTATGGAACGAAGAAGTCGGCGGATTATTTCTCCAAGAAGAAATGAGCTGGAACAATTGGACGATTACGATTTTCTATGTCGATATCGTTTGCCAAAAGACAGCGTAAGAAACCTACTGGGACGAATTGGTCACAATTTAGTTTCTAGATCATCGAAAAATTATGCGATGTCGCCGATGGAACAACTGTTGTTGGCTCTACGTTTTTATGCCACGGGAACATTTCAGTTTGTCGTAGGCGATTTGAATGATTTAAGTCAATCATCTGCTTGTAGAGCGATAAATAGAGTCAGTTTTTTAATTGCTCAAATCTCAGCAGATTATATCCAGTTGCCTAAAACAGAATCTGAAAGGAAGCAAGTAAGTAGGCCTAATATCCCTTTATCTTTCGCTACTATAGTAATAAAATAATTTTATTTTTTCCGATTTTCAGTTCGGTAGACTATCATATACAGCATTCAGGTTATGAACTTCCTTTATTGATTTGTCATATGCATTTCGGACTTAATTGTAATTTAAGTCCCTCTTCAGTACAAACTCAGATTCTGTTTTCTAAAAACCTCGGTGTATAATTGGTAACGTTGTGAAAGAATAAAAATACAGCCATTTAAAAAAAACACTTCAACTACATATTCACATTAATACGTTGCACACTTTACAAATGTTCATAAAAACCTTTACAATTACAACTTTTTTTAAGAAAAATTCGTATGCACTTTATTGNTACTAAAGTAACTGCTATTAAATAAAGGTAACACATTTATATATAATAATTGTTAAAAGAAGAAAAGTCATTTATCAGAAACAATTACCATCAATTAATTATTAAATACCTGCATAACCACACCCATTAAATCAATATCCTGTATTGAATTTTATTTCTATATTTATCTTTGTGAAACCATGTTGTATTTATAATGAATAATGTAAACTATTTCAGATTGCAAAAAGTTTATTACACCTTATAAAAGTCTATCATAAATTATATATACTAGAAATTAAATGTTTACATTTTAGCATAAGAAAAAATGATGCAACTAGATACAGAAGCTGAAACTTTCCAGTCTTTAAAACCCAATGAATCAAATGATGATTATGATGATGATATTGCAAAATCTCAGAGCTTCCAACACACAGTGACGGAATTTAATTTGCCAGATAGTGATAAAATTTTGGAAAATGTGACTCCCGATGGAGAATTTGATGAGACTGATTCATTCCATTCTGTTTTACCAATCATGGAACCAATAATTGAAGAAAGTGAGAATGATAACCAGCAGTCCAATCGTCAAGAGTTACTGGACGAGTATTATGTGAGTCTTATTCTTACTTGTTAGAGAGATTTCATAGATACTGACGACAGAAACAAGTTTTGGTTTTTATATTTCTAGAAAGTTGTTCAGATGGAAAAGAGACTGTTAAAGACAAATGCCACACTTCAAAAGAAACTAGTCAGTCAATTTAAGTCTCAAAAGGTATTGAGTAGTTTACAAAATTTATTTTATGTTATAAAAATATATACTTTATATATACTTTATTTTCCAAATATTGATAATTTTATAAATAGATTGATGAGTTGGCTGTCATCTCATCAGAAACAGATATGAATGATTCGTATGAGAAAATGCTAAGTATAAATATATAATGAAGCCTTATTTATTTTTTATTTGTTAATAAAAATGGTTATGGATTTCTTTAATGATAATTACAAACTTTTAGTTGAAATAGAAAATTTATGTAAACTGGAAGAAGAAGAAGGAGAGAGACAAACAAAAGAAGAAGACATTTTAAAGGCAGAACTGTGTAAAAAACAGAACGAAGTTGATGCTTTTATTAAGAATTTTAATGATTTGAAAAAAGAAGTTGCCATGAATGCAATATTTAGTAAGAAAGCTGAAAAAATTCCAATTGAGGTATCTACATAAATGATTATTTTCATTTATTGTAATTGATTTAAAATCACAATTCTTTTTAATTTTTAAAAATATGTCTTACTAGAAAATAAATCAGTATTTGGAAAAAGAAGCTGAAATAGATGAGGAGATCAGAAAAGCCAGATTAGCTAACATTAGAGAAAGATGGATCCTTCAAAAGTTAAAAGATAATCTTAAAGAACTAGTTAGTTTTTACAGTTTTTTCAATATTTTAAAATAAATTTTTTACATGCTTAAGAATTTAAAATATTTCAGAAATTTAAAGTTTAATGTGATTTAAATAATTAATTAAATTGCTAATTTTATTGCTATTGTAATATTACTTTGGCAAAAATTGAGTCAATTAAAGAAAATCTTTTAATTATTGGAGATTATTATTTACGGTCTGTCCATAAATTACATCCACATCTTTCTTGAAAGTTTTACTCCTCCTCTCCCAGTTTGTCCAAGTTTCCATAATCCCTCCCCTCTTCGGATGTCCAAGAAAAAGTTTTAATGGGTGGGTCGAGTTATCACTTTATGATGTGATGTATGCTTCATTTCTTCTTATGGTATGTAAGAAATTTTGAAATAAATATAATAAAATGCATAAATTGTATATAAATAAATGAAATAAAGCAGATAAACTGAAGTTCAATCTCCCCTCTCTTCCAGTGTAGATGTCATTTATGGACAGCCCCTTAATTAATGAAATAAATTTTAAAAATGGTGAGATGATTAAGTCACTTTTTTGTTGTTTCTAATGTATATCTGATGAAGATATAAATATTGTTGTTACATGCCTAACATTGATATAAGTATTTATTTATTATTTGTTTAAAAATCCTGAGAACAAGCTTGATAAACAGTAGGGTTTAAAAAACATTTTTTTAAATGCTACTCTTTACACTACTTAATTTTACACTGTAGGTATAGAGTAACACAATACAGTAGACTGAAGATAACTGAGTGGGTGAAATGGTTAAACTCCAAACTCCCATGCATTCAGTCTTGTTTGCTATCTTAATGTCAAGAATAAAAAAAAATGAAAGTGAAAATTTAATGTTTTCAAGAGGCAAATATTAATAATTTTCATTTCTAGTATTAGATAACTAAAAATCAAACTGGTTTTTAAATTTGATTTATTGTGTTTATGTAACTAGAAAATTTTATTTATTCAACACAATGAAGTATAATTTTTACGTGACACTAGGCTTTCTTTACACTCTTTATTTCGCTCTTGTTATCAATACACATTTTCGGCCTATGCTCCTCTTCTGTCGGCTTTTGTTTCTTATGAAGGTGTTGAGCATTTTAAAAGAATTATGGAACATTAAAATACATCTTAAAAAAAACGTGTGTGCAAGAGGAGCTCAAACCTAAGTATGCACTATTTTAATGTTCCATAATTCTTTTAAAATGCTCAACACCTTCATAAGAAACAAAAGCCGACAGAAGAGGAGCATAGGCCCAAAAAGTGTATTGATAACAAGAGAGAAATAAAGAATGTAAAGAAAGCCTAGTGTCATGTAAAAATTATACTTCATTGTGTTGAATAAATAAATAAGAAGACAGGCACGGTTTCATATTAAGATAACTAGAAAATGTTAACCAATTTGTCTTTATTCATTATACTAAGCATGAAATAACTGTTTTAACTAAATTGCTCTTTTCTAATTCTTTGTTTCCTTGATAAAAGTTGTTATAAACTGTATTTTCAAATTGAATAAATCTTAGCACCATTGTTTGCTGACTGATCAACAAAACAAAATAAATAATACTGCATTTTTAGATAACAAAAAAACATTTTCTAAGACATATCATTAGTCATTACTTAAAAATTTTCATTCATAAATTTGGGATGATGCACTTATATGATTAAAGTTCCTCCTACTTTCAAGAACTAAAAATATTTGATTGGGAGATTTCTGAAATTAAGATCATCTGTGTACGGTAATTGTTATATGAATATATAAACATACTGTGTATATAGTACAAAGACCCCTACTGTTCTATTTCTATAAGTTATAAGAATTATGAACTTATTATTTTAGAATATAGAAGAATCTGCACATTGTAATCACTTTGGACATACCTTTACTGATGATAATTATTAACTGAAATATTAAGCAGAGTAAATAAAGAAGACTGTGATTAGTGAACATTCTGGTTTTATTGATTAAGGCATCATGTTCAAACAATTTAAAAATGTATAATTTATAATTAAAATAATAATAATCTTCAATTTTTAATAATTATCTGTTGTTTGCCTGATCTTTAACAACAACTAGCATATGAGCTGAAGTAAGAAATGCCAACAATGTAAGTTACCATACTCAAGCAAATAACAATTAACATTTATACTTAAAATACTGGTTAAAGACTGATAATAATTGTACATTATCAACCATAAGTTGAAGCTGATAGCATGAAAAGATAGCTTAAAAATGCCTATTTACCCAAATAGACCTGTCCAAAATTTTAGGATGGATGACATTTTATGCATGACTACAGAGAACTGCAGATGAATGCAGACAAATATGGCAAGAACTGTATTACTTGACGACTTGGATAATCTATATATATAAAAATGAATGTATGTGTGTCTGTGTGTGTGTGTGTGTGTCCTTCATGCATTGCCACACCGTTTATACGATTGCAGTGAAACTTTGGGAAGTTATTTAATATACTCTGGCGAAGGTTTGTGGCATAGTACGATTGCCATAAAACTTTGGAAAGTTTTTTTAATTTTTTAATACACTCCCGCGAAGTACATTTATCCTACGATAGATGGCGCGCGTTTACACGAGCATTCGCGCACAGTGTGTTCGATCGATTTCAAATTGTGAAGACCATTTCCCCCCTTCAAAAAATATCTCTATATATGCATTTGTGAACTGTTATTTACGATATTTGTAATAATTTTTGTTTAATCACTTTATTTCAACTTTTTTTTGCTAATTATGTATTCGCTCGAGCTTCGTTAAAACCTTAACTGTACCCCGAACAACAACCGAAGTTGTAGGAAGAAATTCGCGTATTTTACCGATCTAGGTATCCCCCCTTTTCCAAATTTTAATATCGACTCAAAATAATTTAAAAAGACAAATTACAATAAAACGGTTTATTATCCAACTATCAGAAATTTCACAACATGCCAAGGAAGAAAGGAAGGAGCAATTAAATAATGAAAATTATAAAGGATTTAAAAATATATATAAAAATGGGGAATATCGCACTTCTGACAATCGCAGCGAGTGTGTGGGCTAAATTTGGAGAATCCGTGCTTCTCGCATCGACAACTGTATGTGGCCGGCTCACGCGTCGAAAAACCTTCCGATTTATTCGTGTACACACCAGAGGGAAAAACAAAAAATATTGTGTATCCACAAACACTCCAATAAATAAATAGAATTGAAACGACACTTTGAAATGTTTTCCCGATGAAAATGAATAATAATAATAAGTTTCAATAAAAATAATAAAATGTAAATTGAATTTTATCATAACGAGTTTGCTTCAATTTCCTTTTTTCTGAGATCGCAGCAATGCGCGACGGGTAAGCTAGTACACAATAAATTGTAGCAATCTACAAATCAAAGCAATAAAAGTCTATCAATTTCACTAAGTCTTTGGTGAGAAAATACATACAGCAGTTTGACATAGGTGGAGAATGGATGAAGAGTACAGTACTTATCAATACCCAGATCAGTGTGGAGACAGGCTTTGTACTGTACAGTACACCTATGCAATTTGTCACTGACTGACTAGTGACTTTTCCTAGCTATAACCACTAGCAATTGTGTTCATCCATAAGTTTTGTACATGTGTAACTGATGTTCTGATTACAATAAGTGAATTATTATAAGTATACTAGCTGTTACCCGCGACTTTGCCCCCGCAGAGGTTTTGCAAGCAAACCCCATTTACATTCAGTATTTCAACAACCATAGTAATTGTTATATAAACCTACCACCGAGAATGATGAGAATTGCTGAGAATCAAACAAACTATTTTGAATTTGATCAATTTTCTGGAACGTTTACAATTGTTCTATAATTTAAAAAGGTTCAAACATTTGGTTAAGAAATCGAAATATATAAAAATATTTATAACAATGTCTGAAATGTTATTAATACACTTAATACACTTAAGTACTTAATGAAGACTAAACATAACAAAAAATAGCATCTAAAATAGTACAGTAGAAGCCATTTTTCCGGTTAAGACTTAATTGTCTCCCTCTCCCCCCGCGGGGGAATTTAAAAAAATCCCTTCTTAGTGAGCATTTTCATGACATACCCTAACCGTGTACCAAATTTCACCTCTTTATGTTCAGCGGTTTGCTCTGGGCAATGATGAATCAGTGAATGAGTCAGTCAGGACAATCAATTTTATATATATATAGATTTTAACTTAGCCATCCTAAAACATGCAGGACATGGCTATACTAATTCTGATTACAATAAGCAGTCAGGTGAGTTATCATGNAAAAGAAATAGGGAAAACATTACTCGAGCGTAACTTAAACGTTCCGTAAATTACACTCCGGTAATTATGACGTCAGGACCAATTTATAAAGTTAATTTTGTGTAAATTACTCTTGCATATGATTTTATTTCAATTATGATAATTTAATTCGAGATATTTAATCATAACCGTCAATTATAACAAATCCTATAGAGAGATACATGATGCAAAAATTACATTCTTGCAAAATCTAAAGCCCTTCAATTCCTATAAAAATGTACCCAAATTATCTTGAGCAATTATTAAATAAAATTTAACTTATAAAAAAATTATTAAATGCTTAAATTTATTATCATAATTGTATTCTATTCGTAATTACATTTAAAAAAAAATAATTTTTGTAAATTTTAACGAAATTTTTATTATTCGATCGAAATTTTGAAACCAAGTTTGCATGTAAATTTTTTAAATGTCAAGCTTGATACAAATCGATTCAGCTACTAGTTAAAACCTTAATTTAAATATTATTTTTCTATATAAAATTATCATCACGGTGATGAATCTGTTTATTATCAATTATTATTATTATTTTCTAAAATTATTATCGAAATTATATTAATGATGCGTAGAATAATTTATAAATTAAACACTTCTTTACGTGGAAGCTTAAATTATACAGATGAAAATAGAAAAATATACATAAAATTTATATATTATAGGGAACAAAAAGTAAAATTTATATATAATTTTGTCCGTGTTCTGTAAGAATTATGGCATAGAGAGAACAATGATACAGATATATAACTGCATTATATATATATTATATAAATGTAAATTACAAATATATTATTGTTAAAAATATAATTATAAATCCTTTCGATTTACGTGCGTTTAAAGTATCCCTAAAAAACAGTTTACGTTACTCAAAAGTCGCAACGTCGTTACATAAATCACAATACCGCTCGTTCAATAAACAGCTGTTAAAAATAGAAAAATTTGAATCTTTAACAAAGAATTTTCATTAATTACGAAACTTTTTTTAAATAGTACGTGAAACGCATTATTATATAGAAGTAAAAATGCGTTACGAGACAGCAAAATATACGAATTTTCATGCGATCTATGAATGAAATTCCTTATAAATCTATCTGTATAGATTTTTTTAAAAAAATTCTAAAGTTCCTTTGGATGATATATATTGAATCTGATGTAATAAAGTACGTTATTTCATGAAATACTTTTGTCAGCAAGCATTATGAGTTCCAGTACTCTGATTCGAACAGCATTCCACCTTATCGATGTCGTTTTATTTGCAGCGATGTTGTAGAAAAGATTGAGACTTTCCCAATTTTAAAATTTAAATTTTTTTAAGAAAGTTGCCCTTTATATACTTGATATTTTATAGAACCGTAATGAACAGCTTTAGTTTGTCTAATCTTAGCTGCTTACAATGAATTTTAATCTATTGTAAACCTTTATGATTAGACAAAATATTATTTAAGTAGAACAAAAATATGTTAAATTACATTTAAAAAATAATCCAAAACACTAAAGTTCATTAAGAACATAAACATATACTATCCAAATGGCATCTTCACTTGTCCTTTTTTCATACCAGAAACTAATCAAAGGCACACAGGTTCCATTTTTTGAGACTATGACCTTCCTGGAATACAATTAGTTCCTGGTGTGAAAAAAGGACAAGTGAAGATGCCATTTGGATACTCATGTTCTTAATGAAAGATATATTAACTTTTTAATAATAGAGGAATGATATAAAAACTGTATTTATATCATACAGGACTGACAAAAGGATGAAGCTGAGGATTTTTCCTAGGGCCTATAGTGGTTCCTAAAAACTACTGTTATTTTTATTAACAAAAAAAAATCTTTAAGACTGTTTTTTTATTAATAAAGAAACATTCTATGTATTTTGGTTTTTGAATAAATAAAATGCAAAACAAGTCTGCAACGAGCAAAAGGCAAAGAATTCTACCTCCAATCCTGTATACTTTATTATACATGTATAAAATAGAAATTATTTACAGTATTTTATAGACTAATAGGTTTATAATGAAAACTATATGATTTTCTTTCATTCCTTTTCATTCTTACAAATTTTCTTTTTAGGAATTTGTCAAAATGGAACAAACTTTTGCTAATTTTCTGCAACTTTTGACCCATGAAAAAGAGAAACTTGCAATTCTTGAACCTGATGTAGCCAATGCTGAACAAAACTTAAAAGACTTATCCAAAGAAGTTTTGAAAGTTAGTTTTTTTGTACTTTTAGACTATTTAGCATTAAATTTATTATAGTAAGCAAAATATAGAAAAAAGCAGTTCAATTAAATAATTTTTTTTGAATATAAACTATACTTATTATTTTTATGCTTTTTTTCGTTTTTGTAGATTTTTTTAAAATTTATAAAACTTTGGTATTACAAGATACAATTAAAATTCATATAATATTAAGAAGGAATTTATAGAAAGCATTATTTAGAATAAGATCATGATATAATTCACAATGGCATATTATAAATTACCATATTTTATGGCATATAAGACAAATATTTTGTGCTGAAATGGAAGTATTAATAAGAATTGTATTTAGTGTCGTTAAACCATCCTACACTTTTGGTACTTTGCAACTGTATTCTGATTAAAAAACGTAAAATTAGAATGCACACTTTTATTTATCAGAAAAATAAGAGTTTAAAAGAAGACATTAACCATTAAAATATTCTATATAATAAATAAAGCAGCTTAGCTCTAAAAAACAAATAGTAATAACTATAAATATGTTTAATTAAACAATAACACTTTTATTGAAGAGTTGGGCTAGGTAGAGGTTATCTGTAGGCTACTGAAGGTTATTTGATGAATACAAACAACTTATGGCAGATCACAACTTCATGTATAAAAGCTCAAAAATTATCCCTGGAATTTTAAGCTTTTTTTTTTTCTTTTTATAACCAAAAGTTTTCAATGCTGTAAAATACAATGGATCTTGCCTTTTACTTTACAATAAACAAATACAGTAAACTTCTCTGACTCAAACGTATGAATTAAAGAAATATTTGAGTTACAAATAAAATAAAGTGCTTGGTAGGTCTCAATGAAATAACATAGGCATTTAATGTCTCCAACTTGAATTTTCTTAAGTCAGGTTTTTATGGTCCCATGACACTGATTTATGTTACTTTTAACTTCCCTGACTCAAATTTTGATATTTATTGTATCTAAAATGATCCTAATTATCATATTTCCACAAAATTTTGACAGTTGTATCTACTGTCCAACACCCATTTGCAGATATTGCAAATGGATCTCTTGCTTTATTTCAACATGATTAATGGAATTGAAGTTTTGCAGGTATATTATATTGAATATTTTATTGAAAGGCATTACATGAACTGTTTAAAATAAAAAAAGTATCAAAGATTCTTTATATAATGCAAGAGGGTTAAAAATACAGATCTTTTCAGAATTGGCAATTTTTACCATATTGTTCTCTAACTCTAATCATCTGTAACATGAAGTTTTTTGTTCCTTGGAGCTTGCAAGTTAGAGAAGTTTTACTGTATATAATATCACTCATTAAGATATAACATTATCTTAATTAAGTAGTTCTGTGTGCACAGCTTTATAAACATTTCAATATTTATTTTAATAATGTTTTTGGATTCTATGCTTCAGCTTTAAAGAACAATTATTCTGTCCTGTAAGTATTATTCCTTAGTTAAGAAGTTAGTACTATTATACAATTATATGCACAAGTTTTGTTCATTTCAACAGTATTATATATAAATTTACTGTAATGTCAATTTGATGATAAAGTGGTTTGTTTTAAACTACGAAAACTTCTAATAGAAATCATATAAAATGTATTTTAAGTGTCAAAATTTATTGATTTTAAAGCCAAATTTTAAATGACTTAGAAATTTTGGAAGATCTTGCTGCTCTGATAGAATAATTTTAAAAGAATGAAAAAATCTTATCCTAAAATTTTCAGCTTTCTTTATTAACCATCAAGAAACAATTTCCAAAGAATATCAAAAAGTTTCAAATATGCATATTTAGTTTAAATAATTACATATAAACAAAATTGAATTTAATCATTATTTTAATTAAAATTTAATTATATTTAAATGGCAATACTGGCCAAAAAATAAAGTCATTTTGATGAATGTTAAATGTTCTTATAAACTTCAATTTCTACAAAGAGTTTCATCTCCTCTTCAAGAGTTTAAAACTTAATTTAATCTGTAAAGAATTTTCTTAAACATAGCTATCAATATTTTTCTTTGAAGTTCTTCAGAAGTTATATAATCTGAAAAAGGTTGATAAAGAAAGGAGGACTGAAGCATTTCTTCTTTCCATAACTAGTCGTAGGTTAATAATATTTCCTATATCATTTTTTAACTGTATAAAAACATTGTTGTGAATATTTTATATATATAATGTAGTCCACAACTCCCATATTCTTTGAATCTGGATAAAACTAAAGACAAGATAAATTTTGGCTATTTAAACCATCATTAGTACAAAAACGTAAAAAAAAAAATGATTTGGAGCCTAAACTAAGAAGTACTTGTAATAAAATTCTTCAAGAGATTTTTCTTCTCTATATTGTAAAATTTCACAAGAATATTACTTCAAATACTTTATTTCAATAAAGATTTATAGCCATTATATGCTTTTTATAGAATATAAAAAAATATCTTAACAAGTTTAATATCATATTGTTTTCCTTCATTCTAATAGTGATAAACTTAACTTATAAAATAATATTTTGTTTGTAGAAAACAGAACTATTAGCAGAATTAAAAGAAAAGAATAAGAAAGCACTTTACCAGTTGGAAAAGTTGAAAACGCAATGTGGAATTCTTGCCAACAAAGAATTTATGGACTACTATGAGGCAATGAAACAGACAGAATATGATATTCGAACTCAAATTACCAGACAAAAAAGCAAATTTAGAAGTAATCATAATGCTATTTATCAGCTAGAAGGAAAATTTTAATCTTATTGTAAATAAATTTCATAAATTACATCAAGGAATATCAATTTTCTTTGTTTTATTGAAAAAAACAAAAATGAATAAAAATTTATTTTTTAATTCATTAGTATTTTATTTGTTTTACAAATATTATATATAAATGTCATGTCATAAGTCAAGCAATAGTATAAACTGAAATTTTTGCCATGAAATTTAATTATTAAGTCTTGCTAAGTTAATGAACAGACTTAATGGACAAACCTGTTTATTTATTTCTGTCTGACATCAAATTTATTTAACCATTTATAAGGTTATTTTCATACATTAATTTAAAGTCTTGCATTCTGATTATTGTTCTTGTCCAATTATTTGTTTTTATTTAGTATAAAAACAAATAATGTTCAATAATATACATCAACAATGGCCAACTTTAGAAATTAATGTTTTCAATGGAATTTTTGAAGAGTTTAAATGATAAGATTTTTGAAACTTGGAATTTTATAAACTCTAATAGTTTTATAGTTATAAATAGAGTATGTAATATTTATTTTGAAATAAGCATAAAACAAAATAATTTAAAAATTATTATTAGTTTCTGTTATTTTTAACAAGAACATTGTGGTCTCTCAAATTTTTGTCCAAACATCCTCAGGTTCAAAGACAAATATATGAAAAGTAAAAAGTTTTATGATACTGTCCTCCTTGTCACTGGCAAGTAAATTAATTTAATCTATTGTTTTATGCTACAAATTAACAATTAAATTTGCTAGCAAAAATCGACCAATTTATACATTGATTGACTTATATTCAATTAACTTCAATTTGATAATTGAACTGTTATAAGTCAAGCAATAGTGAAAATTTGAATTCAAACATGTAAAACTCACTGCCATATTCAAATTTCTCAGCCCTAAAACCAATACATAAAGACTATCAGATGTGTCCATATAACTGAAAGGTTGTTATTAGTGATGTAACGAATATTCGGTATTCGGCCTATTTTTTGCTATTCAGCCAAATACCGAATACCTAAAAACAGGAGTAAGAAATAATAAAAACACAGTAAATTAATCATTTTGATTTAATGTTATCAGGTTAGTGTTGTTTGTTTATATTTATTTATAACTTATAACATACACAAAATAAAAAAGAACATAATATTACTCACTTGTATTCACAATTTATAATTACAAAGATCAGCACATGTACACATCTATTCTTTCGAGAATCGTCGCACATCTAAGGGCCTGACCCTGCCTATCCTTCTTTTTAAGTGCTCGTCTTTGCTCTTTCCTTTCTCTTTCCTCTATCGCTTTAGTCCATGTATGCCTATGCATACATCATAATACGCCCTCACGATACTTTCGATTCATCACTTTTCTGTCGTAGATTTCCCATTTTACAATTACGTGACTCATAGCCTGGTGATAACGGATAAAAGAGACAGATAGGACGTCAGTATAAGTCACAGTTATGATTTCACAGATTCGAAACAGCTTGGTAGCCTGAACGACCCCAGGCTTTCACCCGTGCACGCCAAGTGATTTTCATTACAAGCATTTAGCTTTCCGAAGTCTACGACAACAATTGTTTGGCATTCACAACTGCGAATTTCGGGCCAATAAGCTGCCTTGACTTGTTCTATTATGTTATCAACTCAATTTCATATTTATTTTCACTTTGCGGTTCTTCTCTGTTCTTCTTCCGTTATTTACATGTGTAGGTAATTTCATTGTTATCCACATTTGATATCATCACTTATCACATACTGCCATGACTCTCTTGTCTGAACTGTCAAGAATTAATGTGATTAGCAAAGCATAGTGACAGTGGGCAATAGAGAGCAGGGTCCTTGCCATAATGCGGTTTGCGCACCAATTTTCGTACGTGCGTTAATCAAGCTGAACAGTTTGGCCGAATATTCAGCTATTTGGCCACGCTTCTGGCTGAATACTCGGTATTCTGCCTGAGGCCGAATATACTATTCATTGCAACACTAGTTTTTATTAATGAATGACATACTCATTACTTTGGACTTTTTAGATCTTTAGAATGTGTAGACATTCCTTGCTAGTATGGGGGCCATAAGAATAATCAGTCTGACAGGCCAGATCTGTATAATGTCTGCAGATGGTCATCATTGATATTGATATATATATAATAAAAATGATGTAGATCTTTATTTCAATAAAGATTTTTAGCCACAATCACTATAGAGTATTAAATCTCCATCAATACATGATTATAACAAACAAACAGTTTATAAAACTGTCATTTAATTATAACCAGATTTAACTTTTTTATTCTGTCTTTATATATCATGCTTCATTTTTAATCCTTATGCCACAATACCATAAAGTTTTAACATTGTTATAATGTATTCGTTATATCTAATCTCATCAGCTGAAAATAAAAACAAGATTATATCTCATCAAGAACCAATAGATCAAAATATATTCCCATACTTCAATTATATGTAAACTGTTTTGCTAAATCATGTGTTATATTATTATTTTTATTATGTTGTAAATGTGAAATTTAGACATTTTGATTTTTCCTAGAAATGAGTGGAAAAAAATAATGTTCTAGAACCTTCAATGTGGATATATAAGTAGAATAAACAAAGGGCATATCATGACATATTTCATTTGAAACAGACACATCAGCAATGTCTGACAATATGAACTTTCAAAAGAACATATTTGCATGCTGTTGCTCAATCACTTCAAAAGTAGCTACAATGTAACAAAGACTATGATCTCATCTAGTGTTTGTTAAAGCATTCATGGGTGAACAAAGGTCAACCAGCTGTTGCAAATGTCAAAAGGACCAATAATGCAAAAGGTGATAATCTGCATGTTTGGCATCATCACAAGAGAATCTGGCCAGTTTAGACGGGAAGTTGTCTCATTCACCTTACAGCCTGAACTTAGTATCAGCTGACTACCATCTATTTCTGTTGTTGTCTATTAAACTTCTATTCTTAGTAATTAATTCTTTAACAATCTATGTTTATTCTTTTACAAAATATCTATAATTTAAATATAAATTTGTGTATATATATATATATATATATATATTACAGCTAACAGTACTTTGAAGAAGTTGATTGTTTTGTTCATATTTTAGTTGATATATGGATTGATGAATCATTTTGATAAATTGAGAATAAGATACCAACCAACTTTAAAAAAATGAAATGACAATAAATTCTAAAATTCTAACATTAAATTATTATCACTGTTTTACAATTATCTCAGCCAAGCTAGTATGAAGGAAATGACATATGATGATATCACACACACAAATTTACTTCACTTGATTTCTAATAAATATTTGTAAGTTTATTAAAAATTAAAGAATACTATACAAATTTAGAGGACAGAATTCATTATCATTTATATATTGTTAATTCATTTTCATACCAAGTTTGAGAAAATAGTAAAATAAATTCAGTAAGTGCTTTCTTATGTAAAGATAAATATTTCATCTCTTTTAAACCAAATGCATTATTTTTATTTAATTTTGAAAATTAAATGTCTTAGTAACTCTATATTATTTAATAAAAGATGTCATAAATACATAAGATTTAAGTATTTTGTAATGATACTATAATTTTAAATCTTGAATTTCAATCTAAAAAGACAATACACATTAATAAATTATGGTTAAATTCATTTTTTGTTTTAAAAATTGATCATATTATAGTGTATTATTAATCATATATTAGTACTGTACACTTATTAAAAACAAGATCCTTTTTCTTTTTTAAATAAAAATATTTTAATACATACATTTAATAATTTCCACACTTTTTACAATTATTTACAAATGTTTTCATTTCATAATTTACCAAACTGTTTATCATTCTTCAAAAGTTGGAAATTATCATTCATCTCTGCTTTCATTTTCTTTACTGTTGTTGTTTTCATTGTCACTGTTATTACTGTCATTTTTGCTGTCATTATCAGTATCATCTTCACTATCATCATCAGATTTCTTGTTTTCATCATCTAAGTAATAGAAAAAATATATACATATAATGAAATAAAAGGAAATTCAATTCTTACATGTTACACCTTCTGATATTTATGTAAATACAGTATAACCCCAATTTATCAGCATTCAATATGTGAGAATTAAATACAGTAAGTTTTCTTTTATTCCTCTTCCTAATTTGAGACAAAATACTTATACAATGGATGCCATCTAATATAACACACATAAAATATTATAATTACAAATGCAATGAGAATGAAATTCCTATGTGCTAATATTGGATGGCTCACCTCCAGTCTCCATTTTCTTTGTTTTATTCATGTTATTCCTTCATTCACTAGATTTTAACACAGCTGTGCAGTTTACTGAGCTTTATCTCTACATTATATATCTTTATATTGGTGATTACATGTCAGGAATATCCATTGATATAGAGATGAGAATGTGTATCAGTCTTGTTTCTTTACAGTTTCATTAATTAAAAAAAAAAATTTTTATTTTACTCTATTTTACTCATTTTCTTAACTTTTGCTATCTTACCATTAAAGAAAAAAATGTCAGGTAAGTTACATATTCACTGTTGTGCACATATCTGCATCTCTAATTTTGCATGTCCCTTTTACTAATTATTATATAAAATATATTTTATTTACAGTAATACTTCGACTTATGCTACCCCGACTTACGCAATTCTCAAATCTCGTCAATTCATCTTTTGTTTGAGTGCCACGCAACTAGAGGATTTGATCCCGGGATCTCGAAAATCGGGATCCTGGGATCCCGACTACTTTTCAGTCCCAAAATTTTCGGGATTAAGTTTTCCTAATCCCGAGATTTTCGGGATTGACATCATTTTAAAAAAGTTGCAAAATAGACTGCATGAAGCAAAACGTTCAGTGCCAGTGCTTTTACAGAATTGCTTGCCTATCATTTTAATATAAAATATGAGAAATTTTATTCCAAGCAAGCAACAGAAATTAACCTAGCGGGCTTGCGATGCTTGCTTGGAATAAAACTTCTTGTATTTTGAACTAAAATGATAGGCAAGCAGTTCTCACTGGGTTACTTGGTAATATACTGTACTTCATTTTTGTATTTTTGAATTTTCGCGGGCGCCAATCGATTTTCTGGCGCAGTCGAGAGCACTACTCAGTGCGTTTTACTTGTCAATGTGTCAGCCATCTTGTTTTGCCAATGTGGTTAATATAGACCCGACGCCTCTCGCTTAGGGGGGGTTGACCTTAGGTGAAAAGGTTACGACCCCCGCCTTGCCTGCGATCTGTCAGGATGATGCGAGAAAGTCTTTTTACGTTTGGGAGTAGTGGTTTGCTGGATGCTGAGAGACTCACACAGAGACCGAATTTACAAAATTAACGTGTTTATTTTTAGAAAGGCATGCTTACAATGATCGAAACAATCGGGATTGTAGCCTTTACTCCTACAATCCCGATCTGTGTCGACCGGACTGTTTTCTTCCAACCTCCCCGTGTCCTCGAAGCTATAACTAGAACGGGCTTATAAGTATTTACTAACGATTCCTCCAACTTCCATCAAACCTAAACGCGTTTTCTCAGCAGCTGCATATATGTGCAACAAATTGAGAAGCAGACTTGGTGATGAGACACAGGATGCGTTATTTCTCAGATCATATTTTCGCAATTCAAATTAGAATGTTCCTATTAGATTAGTTTTCTTTATATTTAAGAAAAATGTGACTGATTAATGTTATTTTTAAATACTTTTTGCTAAGAAACTTATCTTACTACCTACTTACTAGGTTGCTATATGAAAGTAGTCTATTTAGTCGATGTTAAGAGAGATTTTTGTTAATTTTCAACGTTTATTTGCATAGTTTGTTACATAAAGGTTTTTTCGATTTATGTGAGTTTGAAGAGATCTCAGTGATGCTTAAAAAAGAATAAATTTAACATGAAGACTGAGTGATTTTAAGTCTGGTTAGTCTGACTCTGAGTCTGATTAGTTAGAGTGATTAAATTAGCTAGGTGTATATTGTAAAATATGTTGATTTTTGTCTAAATTTTGATTTGTTGATTTCTGTAAGATTTTCTTATTTTTTATTAACCCTCAATACTGAAATAATCCCGGGATCGACTAAGTATAATCTCGAAATCCCGGGATTAGAAATAAGGACCGGGATCGAATTCCCTACACGCAACTCTTGATTAGTCACTCACCCCATACTATTGTTCAGCTTACATGTTCGGATGTGCTGCATGGAATCGACATATAGCTACAATTTATTTTGTGTTATTTATTTCTGTGTTTGTTATATCTACGGAGACTTGAGAGACTATGTGGTGATTTCTTGTAACCATGAACAAATCAAAAGATGAGATAAGATTAACAAGAACATTTATTAGCTTACATACATCCGACTTGGATTTTACACAAATTGCGAAATTATATCCTGACTTACGCGAATTCAACTTATACGGTTATCGCTCGGTCCCACTTATCGCGCAAGTTTGGGGTATTACTGTATTAAATTCAAAATCAAGTATGATTAAGCAATAAGCTATTTATAACATGATAATTTATTTATTTCTAAAATATTAAATTTAGCTATATAAAAACATTCTAATTTCACAAAAAAAAAAGTTTTTTAAAGAACATTTACACTTACTTGTATTTGAAGTTTTTTTCTGTTTCTTTGCCTTTAGTTTTTCTTTTCTTTTTAATCTAGAATATAAATATTAATATCTTATTTTACAAAAAGATATCCTTAAATAAGAAGATTAATGAATAACTTCCTGATTGTGATTAATAATTCTAAAAATTCATATAGTGTAATGATAATATTAATCAATCCTAAAAGTACAAGCAGGGACCCATCAAATCAAATGTTTTATTCAATTAAAATACAATGAGTTCATTGAAAATTATACAAAATCATCATTACAGCAAGTATTTTCTGGGTTGTTTGTAAGTAATTTGCATCTACCTGTTGTCTGGTACCATGAGTCTCCTCCTCCCACTGGTTCTACCTCTCAAAGGCTTCTTTCTTTCAATTTTGCATTCAAGTCCCAGGATGGCAATTTAGCATTCCTAACGCTGGCCAACTTCAATTGGCAGGGTTTCAGATTAATTATGAGAGTGTGTTGGTCCATCTTATGGCAATCTCATCAGCTATTATAAAACTCTTAATCTATCAACACTCACATGTTCAAGTTTATTCTTCTTTTAGTTGGTAGAATTGTTGAGAAAGCCACCAGTTTTCTTTTTTACACTCTAAATTTCCTTAACAGGCTATTTAGAATATAACCCTTGATATAAACAGCCACTACACAGCAGTCTTTGACAAAAGTTAATCATTTTACAATTCTCCAATGAAATCTTTTGAAATTTTATTTTAACTTACTTGACATTCTCTTTTTACTGTACTATTAATTTTTTTGTAATACATCTGTTTCTACTCAATATTTCATGTCAGTGAGGCTTTTTGTGTAGCTTTGTTATTGCTTGCAAATGTAGCTTTATTATACAATAAGTATATTATTTTGATTTTCAATATACATTTAAAATTTTGCTTTCAAAATTTTAAATTGATATTTAATATAATAAACATGTTATATAAGGAATAATTTCTTAAGAGTTACTGGATTGAACAGGCAATATAATTTTGAGAACCTGGTAAAATTAATCATATGATGTTATAAAATGCTGTTATTGAAAAATTCTAGAATTTACTAACAAACAAACAAAAAACACACACACTTATTAAATACATATACATTAATTATATATAGCATATGTTTGTTTATTCACATTCAGTTTTTTTTCTTTGTAATGTGCAGGATTATGCCTAGTTAGTTTCAGTTCAACTACAATTACAAACAGAATCTGAATTACTGAAAACAAATTACATCATTATAACAACTTTAAATTTATTCATATCATTTTAAAATCTTAGTTTAAAAAATAATAATTGAGATACAAAAATATATTACCTTTTGGCTCTTTTTTTTGCTGTCTTTAATTCAGCTTTTCTTTTATTTTCCTCTATTTTTCTATGAAATTCTACATCTAATCTTTCCTGTTCAAAATAAATTCTTATGTTAATAAGTGTCGATGCTCAGATTTTAATTAAATTTTGTATGCTATATTTTTAAAATAAATCTGAGTAGTAAAATTATTCATTTCATATTTAAAAATGCTCTGTACAGACAATAATATATGTTTATTCCATTTGTTAATGGGATTATTAACTATCTTAGAAAAATTATTTTATTGACATCTAATATTCTTATAATATATCAAACAACTACAAGTAATTGTCAATAAATAAATAATAAAATCACAGTTCAAATGTTTTATAAATAGTGGTCACCACCTATTGTGATCACTGGTTAATGTTCTCAGCCACTTTATGTAATTAAAATCATATTTTTCCAAAACATTTTTATATTTCCTGCATAAAATCTGCTGGTTATTGTAATCGATCACCACTTATTGTCATCATAAATGCTTTAGTCATCAAATTATGCTTTATCATATCATAAATGCTTTAGTTCAGATTAAACTAAAGCATTTATGATATTCTTATCTTAAACTAATCTTAATTTCTTAGTTACCTTTTTGAAAACATTAGTTATTACTTTTCTGGCATTATTATATAATAATTATTAGGTTGTTTGAAAAATAATTTTGTTTTTTACAACCAGAGGGATTAGTTTTATTTTTACCTGACAATTCAAGGCTTGTTTGTAAAAAATTTTGTTTGATTCTTTTCAATTGTTTTTTTTTCTTGTGTCCCATCAAATATGGAAAAATCAAAAATCAGTATTTTCAGCATATTTTGCTTTTTTATTACCAAAAAAGTAAAAATGTTGTTCAAGCAAGAAAAACATTGAGAGACATGTATAGAAAAGACGTGTTAACAGAACAACAATTCCAAAACTAGTTCACAAAATTTCATTCCGGTAATTTCGATACTGAAAATGCACCACATTCTGGAAGGCCAGTTGAAGCTGATGAAGATAAAATAAAAAGGTATTGATTGAAGCAAACTGAATTGAATAACAACACTAGAAATCGCTAAAACATTGAATTTGTTGAATCAACTGTTTATGATCAATATTTATCAAAATTTTCAATTATTGAAGAATATAATATCAGATTGATATCAATATTGAATACTGATATTTCTTCATCAGTATTCAAGTGTATGACTATTCAAAAGAGGTTACCTTTTTGGCTAAGTCATACACTATTTTAATATTAAGAAGTATTCTCCATATGTATAGGAATATATGCAATTTAGTTAAATGATAACAAACTAGAAGACAAATAATTATACTTAGGAAACATTATTATTGTAACAATGTCATAATAATGTAATATTTTTTTTTTTAATAGATGATTAATAAAATAAATATTAATGATGATTTTTAAATACTACCTTGGCTGCTTTTTCATCTATATATTTCTGACGAGCATATTCTTTCCTTCTTAGATGTCTATACACATGAAATTCTCCACTTCCAGCACCAGCACTTGATCCTATAAATTAAAAAATTCATAATGCATTTTTAATACAATGATTATAATTAAGTATCATACATATGTAGTATAATAACAATTTTAACATTTAAATATTATGTGAATTTGGTTGAGCAATTAATTTCAAAATTTAATCAAGCAAAAGTTTTGTTAATTTCTTTGCACCATATAAAATATTTCTTAGAGCTAATATTAATTTATGGAATATAACAAAAACACATGAATATGAAAATATCTCTGCATGTGTTCTGGTATTAAAATATTTTCCAGATAAAGTTTAAATTTTTGTTCATTTAAATAGAGTAAAATGGATAACAAACCACCATATATAAATTAATTTTTCATTCAATGTAATAAAAATTATAATATACAGCATGTAACAGAAAGGTTTGTAAAAAATTTGAGGGGTTGTAGAGAGGTTAATTTGTTACTTGGATTTTGAGTCTTTTTTATAACAATACATGGCTTAATTTTATACATTTGCTTCAGGCTGGTGGTAAGTTCCACAATTAGTCAAAATTTGAATATTCAAACATGTTCTTAGAATATCTTCAAATATGGAATGTTTTAAACCTTTATATGTTTAGAACATTCCATATTCTAGCTAATTTTAATGCTAATTTCCATTTATCCTCTTATCCCCAATCAGTGGCTAGGTTGAAATGGGAGTGTTATTTGGCCAGCACAATCACCTGATCTGAATCCCCTAGATTTTTTTATATTTGAAATATTCATTTTGAGTTATAAGAGATTTTTAAACATGTGATGTCACTTCCTGTTTTCAACTCAAAATTAACCCCTCTACAATCCCTCAAATTTTTTTTACACACCTTTCTGTTAAATCCTTATATGTGTCATTTTGAGGAAACACAACACAAAACAAAACAATAATTTCCTCTCTGGTTTGTTATTATTCCCAAGTGTAATTAGTTAAAAAATCCCTAGTTATATAAGCATTTCACATCAATTATAATTATGATATAAAAAAAATCAATATAATCTAAATATATAAAATTACTTGTCCTGACTGACTGACTCATCATCACCCAGAGCAAGCTGCTGAACCTAAAGAGGTGAAATTTGGTACATAGTTAGGGTACGTCATAAAAATGTGCACTAAGAAGGGATTTTTCGAAATTCCCCTGCAGGGGGAGAGGATTAAGGCTTAACTGGAAAAACGGTTTCTACTGTACTATTTTAGATGCGATTATTTTGTTATTAATTACATTTAGTCTTCATTGAACACTTAGGGGTATTAAATTGATAACATTTCAGACATTGTTATAAATATTTTGATATATTTCGATTTTTGAATCAAATGTTCAAACCGTTTTAAATTTGAATTTGTTATTGCATATTGGTTCGATTATAGAACAATTGTAAACGTTCCAGAAAATAGGGTGCGCCATGGGAATGCACACTAAGAAGGGATTTTTCGAAATTCCCCTGCGGGGATAGAGAGAGAATTAAGGATTAACCGGAAGAACGACTTCTGCTGTACTATTTTAGATGCAACTTTTTTGTTTTCAACTACGTTTAGTCTTCATTGTGTACTTAGGTGTATTAAATTGATAACATTTCAGACATTGTTATAAATATTTTTATCTATTTTGATTTTAAAAATATTCAAATCATTTTAAATTCAAATTTGTTATTGCATATTGGTTCTATTATAGAACGATTGTAAACATTCCAGAAAATTAATCAAATTGAAAATAGTTCGTTTGATTCTCGGCAATTCTCATCATTCTCAGCGGTAAGTGTTGTATAACAATTACTATGGTTGTTGAAATACTAAATATAAATAGGGTTTGCTTGCAAAATCCTCGTGGGCAAAGCCACGGGTAACAGCTAGTTTGTTATATAAGATAAATTTATAAATGAAAATATTCAATAAATATCAATAAAATTTACTTAAACTGAATGTTTAAATTATTTTCTACATAAATTATTCAATAAAAATTTAATAAAATATTGGTCAAATCTAATTGAATTTTGTCAACAAAAAGTTTAATTTTGTACATTTTATTCAAATCTTATTTTTTAAAAAGTTATATTCTTTAAATTGTATATATTTTGTAATTGTATATTTGTCTTTATTTTGTATATATATTTTTTAACGTTTAAATTATTACAGAACTGATTATGTTTGGATGACTTACCCATTACATTCCTAACAAACTCTGGTACTGATATACTTTTCTTCTCTTTTGGTGGATCCGGAATTATTACAGGCTTATCCTAATATAAATACAAATTTCTTTATTAAAAAAGTATCTAAAAACATTTTTTTAAAGTATACTTTAAGATTACACTACAGTAAAGCGTCGATTATCCGAATCAATTGGGGACTGGGGTCGTTCGGAAAATCAATATTTTGGATAACCAATTATGTACGAAAAAATATATTAACTTATCTCATGTTGAAATTTTTCTCAGTTGCGTGTCGCTTCGTGTTGAATTTTCGTCGATGTTAAGCCTAACATAAACCTTTTAAAATAATAATTGTGACTATTGTATTGTTAAAAATTATTTCTTTATTTTGTACAAACAAAATAAATATATTGAAAAATATAAAAACAATAAAAAATTATACTTCAGAAGTTAATTTAGTATCAAAAACGTAAAATATTTCAGTAGCCCAAGACATAGCCAAAGATAGCAGCGCCACAGCACTGGTGAAAATTTAAATTTGCCGACTGGAATTCTTTCGGATAATTGACGCTCTACTGTACTTTATACTTTTTATATTGTAGTTCTTTACTTCCAAAATTATATAATAAATTAAAATAGACATACAGTCGACCCTCTATAACACTGTTGATAATTCCGTTTTATATGAATTCCATGTTGTACGAGTCACTTAGATTTTACATCTAATACATGAGCCGTTCACAGCCCAGCACATGTATTTGTAAAATCTAAGTGACTCGTACAACATGGAATTCATATAAAACAGAAAAATCAACAGTGTTATAGAGGGGGGGGGGTCGACTGTATATAAAAATGGAAGTTCTGTAAATAACAGAAATATGAAAACTAGTACATATGCTCAGCATTGTCCAGGCAAAAATAACAACAGACAACAAAATGAGAACCATATTAAGAATTTAATTATTTTAGCCTACCACTGTTATATTTATTTCAAAGTGTTAATTAAATAAATTATAATAAGAAAAATGAAAGTGTAACTAAATGAAAACAACAAAAAATCTACTTTTAAGAAGAAAGAAAAACAAACTGATCTTATTTAAATTTATTTAACAAAAATAAAAACAAATTAACAGTCAGATTTTGAGTCAAATGGACCAAAGATTCATGCTTTGCATCCTGGAAAACACCAAAGTACATGTTTTGTACTTGCTAAGAATGCCATACTCAGATGATAAGGAATAGCACAAATTTCATTGGTCTGGTAGACAGGAATTGATTTTTTTCAACAGAAAATAGTTGTTAATCTCCACCTGCAGGAGAAGATAATTCAAAACATCCAAATTTTTTAAATATTAAATTTAGCAAACAATTTACAGTCTAATATGAATTTGTAATTGGCCAATCAATCAAATTTTGTGAAAAACAGACCAAATATTTTTAAACTCGGCATTCTCAAAAACAGATTTCATGCTCACTGGAAATTTCATATTAAGTGATTTTCTTATCCAAATGCCACCATCCTGCTACTCAGATAGAAAGGGGCCCATTGCAAGCAGGGGATTAGAGTTAATTCAACCAAAATTAGTTGTCAATTTCCTCCTAGATGAGGGGATAGTTCCTGAAAAGCATCATTGCATTTGCTCAAGCTGTTTTAAAATGTATAAGAACAAACTAACAAATTTCTTTTCTTTATATATTAGTTTGTACCAATTTAAACTTTAGTAAGATAACAATGTTTTCACATATCATAAGACAAGATTCTTCTGTTTAGTAGTAGAGGATCCTCACTGTAGATTTCATCTCTCAAACTCATTATTATTTTTTCTTAAAATATTAAAATAAAATACTGAGGTTTATAAAATAATCATTAGCCTATACAGTAACCTTGTTTTACAAAATGGGCAAGTTCCCAGCCAGTGTCCATAAAGTAAATATATTACAAATTGATGAAAAACTGTTGTATATTTAAATGTAAATAAAAAATAAATGCAAAAAATTCTGTGCCAAAAAATTTGTTTCTCCTGCTTTTTCCAACACTCAGTGTATAAAAAAAGCATGCCTCCCCCTCCTGTCCACACCACCGTAGCCGNTCTGAGTCTGATTAGTTAGAGTGATTAAATTAGCTAGGTGTATACTGTAAAATATGTTGATTTTTGTCTAAATTTTGATTTGTTGATTTCTGTAAGATTTTCTTATTTTTTATTAACCCTCAATACTGAAATAATCCCGGGATCGACTAAGTATAATCTCGAAATCCCGGGATTAGAAATAAGGACCGGGATCGAATTCCCTACACGCAACTCTTGATTAGTCACTCACCCCATACTATTGTTCAGCTTACATGTTCGGATGTGCTGCATGGAATCGACATATAGCTACAATTTATTTTGTGTTATTTATTTCTGTGTTTGTTATATCTACGGAGACTTGAGAGACTATGTGGTGATTTCTTGTAACCATGAACAAATCAAAAGATGAGATAAGATTAACAAGAACATTTATTAGCTTACATACATCCGACTTGGATTTTACACAAATTGCGAAATTATATCCTGACTTACGCGAATTCAACTTATACGGTTATCGCTCGGTCCCACTTATCGCGCAAGTTTGGGGTATTACTGTATTAAATTCAAAATCAAGTATGATTAAGCAATAAGCTATTTATAACATGATAATTTATTTATTTCTAAAATATTAAATTTAGCTATATAAAAACATTCTAATTTCACAAAAAAAAAAAGTTTTTTAAAGAACATTTACACTTACTTGTATTTGAAGTTTTTTTCTGTTTCTTTGCCTTTAGTTTTTCTTTTCTTTTTAATCTAGAATATAAATATTAATATCTTATTTTACAAAAAGATATCCTTAAATAAGAAGATTAATGAATAACTTCCTGATTGTGATTAATAATTCTAAAAATTCATATAGTGTAATGATAATATTAATCAATCCTAAAAGTACAAGCAGGGACCCATCAAATCAAATGTTTTATTCAATTAAAATACAATGAGTTCATTGAAAATTATACAAAATCATCATTACAGCAAGTATTTTCTGGGTTGTTTGTAAGTAATTTGCATCTACCTGTTGTCTGGTACCATGAGTCTCCTCCTCCCACTGGTTCTACCTCTCAAAGGCTTCTTTCTTTCAATTTTGCATTCAAGTCCCAGGATGGCAATTTAGCATTCCTAACGCTGGCCAACTTCAATTGGCAGGGTTTCAGATTAATTATGAGAGTGTGTTGGTCCATCTTATGGCAATCTCATCAGCTATTATAAAACTCTTAATCTATCAACACTCACATGTTCAAGTTTATTCTTCTTTTAGTTGGTAGAATTGTTGAGAAAGCCACCAGTTTTCTTTTTTACACTCTAAATTTCCTTAACAGGCTATTTAGAATATAACCCTTGATATAAACAGCCACTACACAGCAGTCTTTGACAAAAGTTAATCATTTTACAATTCTCCAATGAAATCTTTTGAAATTTTATTTTAACTTACTTGACATTCTCTTTTTACTGTACTATTAATTTTTTTGTAATACATCTGTTTCTACTCAATATTTCATGTCAGTGAGGCTTTTTGTGTAGCTTTGTTATTGCTTGCAAATGTAGCTTTATTATACAATAAGTATATTATTTTGATTTTCAATATACATTTAAAATTTTGCTTTCAAAATTTTAAATTGATATTTAATATAATAAACATGTTATATAAGGAATAATTTCTTAAGAGTTACTGGATTGAACAGGCAATATAATTTTGAGAACCTGGTAAAATTAATCATATGATGTTATAAAATGCTGTTATTGAAAAATTCTAGAATTTACTAACAAACAAACAAAAAACACACACACTTATTAAATACATATACATTAATTATATATAGCATATGTTTGTTTATTCACATTCAGTTTTTTTTCTTTGTAATGTGCAGGATTATGCCTAGTTAGTTTCAGTTCAACTACAATTACAAACAGAATCTGAATTACTGAAAACAAATTACATCATTATAACAACTTTAAATTTATTCATATCATTTTAAAATCTTAGTTTAAAAAATAATAATTGAGATACAAAAATATATTACCTTTTGGCTCTTTTTTTTGCTGTCTTTAATTCAGCTTTTCTTTTATTTTCCTCTATTTTTCTATGAAATTCTACATCTAATCTTTCCTGTTCAAAATAAATTCTTATGTTAATAAGTGTCGATGCTCAGATTTTAATTAAATTTTGTATGCTATATTTTTAAAATAAATCTGAGTAGTAAAATTATTCATTTCATATTTAAAAATGCTCTGTACAGACAATAATATATGTTTATTCCATTTGTTAATGGGATTATTAACTATCTTAGAAAAATTATTTTATTGACATCTAATATTCTTATAATATATCAAACAACTACAAGTAATTGTCAATAAATAAATAATAAAATCACAGTTCAAATGTTTTATAAATAGTGGTCACCACCTATTGTGATCACTGGTTAATGTTCTCAGCCACTTTATGTAATTAAAATCATATTTTTCCAAAACATTTTTATATTTCCTGCATAAAATCTGCTGGTTATTGTAATCGATCACCACTTATTGTCATCATAAATGCTTTAGTCATCAAATTATGCTTTATCATATCATAAATGCTTTAGTTCAGATTAAACTAAAGCATTTATGATATTCTTATCTTAAACTAATCTTAATTTCTTAGTTACCTTTTTGAAAACATTAGTTATTACTTTTCTGGCATTATTATATAATAATTATTAGGTTGTTTGAAAAATAATTTTGTTTTTTACAACCAGAGGGATTAGTTTTATTTTTACCTGACAATTCAAGGCTTGTTTGTAAAAAATTTTGTTTGATTCTTTTCAATTGTTTTTTTTTCTTGTGTCCCATCAAATATGGAAAAATCAAAAATCAGTATTTTCAGCATATTTTGCTTTTTTATTACCAAAAAAGTAAAAATGTTGTTCAAGCAAGAAAAACATTGAGAGACATGTATAGAAAAGACGTGTTAACAGAACAACAATTCCAAAACTAGTTCACAAAATTTCATTCCGGTAATTTCGATACTGAAAATGC